ATTATGCTTGTTTGCACATTAGCACAAAAGTTGCCACAGAATCATTTAGGCTGACATTTGCTTTTTATGTGTGGAGTTAAAAAAGGAACATCCCTTTGTTTGGTTTTGACAAACTCCACCAGCAGTCTGCATGTGCATGTATATGAATTTCATCTTAATTTTCTTAGTTTAGAAGTCTCACCGATGAGCTGTTTTTCTGTATTTTCACATAATGGTCAAAAACATTATGTTTTCTTGCTCATGCTTCTCCTTAAAGGTACAGATGTTTAGAAAAAAAGCCCCAGTGCTTCCTCTAGAGGATTGGAGGCACAAATCATACAGAGAGAATTCAAAACTCCAAAGAGTGGCCACTCTGTGTACCTGAAAGCAATTTGATTTTTTCAGACTTGTTGTGGCAGGTGAAGCTCCACTAAATAAATTCACCACATCCTTATCACGATTGGTTGCGTCTTTGTCTTAAATGCCTGCTGTGACTGACAAATAGGCAATTTAATCAACAACTTCAAGCTTATCACAACACGTGTAGATGTGTGTACAGGTAGGAAATAATTAAGTATCTAACGTAATTATCTAGTGAATTTAAGACACTTAGGTTAGTTGGCGCTATGGATACTTATAGTATAGTGTTGGCCTTTGATGTCATATGCTCACTTTCCAATCTTACTCATGCAGGATAGTAGAATCTTACGTTGAAATGTCAAATCTCTAAAGAAAAACAGCCCAGTTCTCTTGTATTTGCTTCATTTTCCATGAGGGGGCAGTAGTGTTTACTTTTTCACTTGCACTCAATCTCGCAGCTGCAATACAGCTGCAAGCTGAGAGCACCATTGCTTTCAACTGAGGCATGTTCTTCCTTTGGCCACCACGAGGCGCTAATGTTTACTTAACTTAATTTTATGCTTTTTATTTCTCTGCTGTCTCCCTTTAGTTTTCCTTTGTTATACCGGTCACCTGACTCAAAAGAAGGCATTAATGTCAAACCCCAGAAAAAATAAAGACATTTTAATATCTTTGCAAACAAGAGGTAATAACCTGTGAGATACAAATGAACTTCCTTAGAATACTATTAACACATTAAAATGTAACTTCTAGCACTTTAACACTGCATCTTTAGGTTGTTAAAGAAGAAGAAGATTTAATGATATCGATTTCTTTTTCCAGTCCACATTAGATTTTTAGAGGTCGAATTAAATGGTAAATGGCCTGTATTTGTATAGCGCTTTTACTAGTCCCCTGGGGACCCCAAAGCGCTATACACATCCAGTCAACCTACAAGCTGTGTTGTAGCCACAGCTGCCCTGGGGCAGACTGACAGAAGCGAGGCTGCCATATCGCGCCACCAGTAGTAGGCGGTAGGTGAAGTGTCTTGCCCAAGGACACAACGACCGAGACTGTCCGATTACAAGGCAAACTCCCAACTCTTGAGCCACGATCGCCCTACATATAATTAAGAATTATATGCAGTTTTTTTTGTCTGCTATGTTGGGTTATGGTGCAATGATTAGCACGTTAAAAAGGTTGTGGGTTTGAATCCACCAGACCAACTGGGGCCTTTCTTTGTGGAGTTCTCCTTCTCCGTCTTCATTCCACAATCCAAAGACATAGACTTTAGGTTAACTGGTGATTTTAAATGGGCTATAGCTGTGAATATGTGCCTCTATGTGTTAGTCTGTGACTAACTGGTGGCCTGTCCAGGGTATGTCAGCTCTCACTCCATGTTCAGCAAAACAGTAAATAAGTAGAAGAACATTGATATCACATGCTTCTTTCAAGATGGCAAAATATGTATTTTCTTCATGATCCCTATTTATATCATAACAGAAATTTGTGAAGATGTCAGGCATCTACTTTAAAAACCAGAGTCCAGAATGGGTGAACCAAGTAAGCAGAGGGCTTCCTAAATTAATAGAGGATAAAAGAAAAATTAAAGAAACTGTCTCTTGTCCATCCAGGTGGTCTGTCTTCTGAACACTATCCTTGTGGTCACTTCAGCTCACTCTGGGAAACTCTTGCTGGAAATAAAGAGAGTTATACTTGGGCTTCACTTATGAACAGCAGCTGTTTTACAGCTTCACAGCTGATCTGAGCATAAAAGAACAGCTGAGTGAAACAGGGAGGGAAAGCTGTGTTACTTTTCTGCTGTTTTGTGACAGTTTGGTGAATGAAAGCATGAGAGTGTATGTATACAGAGACCTTAACTGGATATTCAAGTTTTATGATCTGACTTTCTTTGAGGGGGCCCTCAGCAGGTGGATGCCTCCCACCTCACAGTGTGTAAGTGACAGTTTTCCTGCTCTGTTGCATCATAACATGCAGTTAGAGAGAGACAGAGCGCAGGAAAGGAACAGCATGATAGAGAAAGCACCAGAACAGAGTAGAGGCAGTGAGAAAGAGCAACTCTGTTCCTGTCAAGCTTCTCGCAGCTGTTCAACGTCACAACTGACTCCTGACAGACAGCCACAACTGAAGGACGAAAATAACCCTCAATGAGAGGGCATCTACCAACACTCAACATCAGGGGTCAGGGGATTTCTGCCAGTGTAAAGCAAAAAATGTGACAAATTGTAAAAGCTGAAGACATCTCACAGATGACAACCAGCTTCAGTTGTGTTACTTTCACACAAAGATAACTGGTTTTATTGACAAGCCCGCCCACTGAAGATTTTTAATTTCTCTCTTAACTAAAGAGACAAAACACCAACCAACCCGTCTTCTGCATCTGTTGGTACAGTTCAAGAGGTGATCGGCTATTTTAGTAACTTGGGTGAGGAATGTACAGTCGCTGAAGAACACAGGCACAGATTGGAGGTCCTACACTAAGTCTTCTCTCATCAACTCAGACCATCATCCATTCACCAGAGTCTCAGAATCCGGCGCACCTACAATGGAGACCGTGGCAATATTTGACTCGCCTGGGAAGGGGAGAGGGTTAAAGGCAACAAAGGAGTTTTGGGCAGGAGATGTAATTTTTTCTGAGGCCAGTATTGCAGCTGTTGTCTTTGACAGGTAAGGTGAGGATGTAAGTTGTGGGTGTGGATGGTCATTGATAGGGGATGCCTTCAAATGCAGTCTTTATGGGATATTTGAACATGTGAATAATGGATTTTCTGGCCTTTTGTGAGTCTGTAATTAGAAATTAACCACAGCATGTTGTGTTTTTATATTTTGGAAAGCTATACTGTTGATTTTTACTTAGTTTCATGGAATAAAAGCAGTTTCCTTAGAGTATGGTGCCTTGCCACTTGTAGCGACTCAGCCTTATCAAGCAAACCCTAATAACATTAACTATGA